CATAATATCAATGTGGGTATGTACATGTATGGTTTTCATATCTATGTTTACTTGGTGCTTTTTGTAGAAAAATCTGAGTTTTTGCTTTTCCCATGCAACAAATGCTTTACCTGTGTTTTATGGAGCATTTGTCATACTTGCAGGGCATAGTTTTAAAGTACATTTGAAGTATATTGAACAGAACATAACATGCCTTTACTGAACAGATCAGAACACTTTTTTTTTTTTTTTTTGTTTTTTATCTGAACAGAACACTTGTAACTCAACAATTACTTACAAGTATATTGATTTGAACAGAACATGCTTATATTGAACACCTTTTTTTTGGGGCATAGTTGTAAGTATATTTTAAGTATATTGCACAGAACAGATCATAAGTATATTGAACAGAGCAATTTTTTTATAATTTAATTGTGTTTTATTTTTTCATTTTTCAGGAATGGCAATTGCTCATCCCGCACCCCAGGGACATAAATGTCAAGGTCCAAAACAGCAACGATAACAACAAAGATCGATCTACGATTAACGATATCAAGAGGACTCTTACGACTGAACAATTCGAAGCATTCAGGAGAACACCATTTGGGAAGTTCTTTGATCTCCCTCACTGCATAGTACAAAACCAACTCATCAATCACATTCTCTTACGCGAGGTTCATCAGAATAGGAGCGATGAGGTTTGGTTCGATTTTGGAGGGAAGTTACTTCGTTTCGGGATAGAGGAATTTGCTGTTATAACCGGACTGAAATGCATTGGCAAAACTAAAAAGCTGAACATTCCAAAGATCTCTGGAGGTCTACACGATAAGTTTCTGGATGGTGTAGAATTGAGCCGCAACCACATCAGGTGGCAATTTCTCAAGAAAGCATGGTCCTGTGATGAGGATGCGATGAAATTTGCCAAGCTACACCTACTGGCAAATTTCCTGATGGGCTCACAAGAAGCCCTTCGCATTGACCGCTGCTATGTTGACTTGATCGACAGTCCAAAATGCGACGACCATGCTTGGGGCAAAGAAGTTTTTGATTTCACTCTTTACTATCTCAAGAAGTCAATTCATAGTAGAGAGCAAATGCACATTTACGAGAAGCCCGAGGGTTCTGGATATCTTTACAGGTGTTATGGCCTTATCTTGGCTCTCCAGACGTGGTTCTACGAGGTGTGTGACACTGCTGAAGGTGTAATATGCACCTCGGTTGGTGACCGTGATATACCAAGGTTATTGAAATGGGAAGTACGTGAAAGTTACAACCGCCTTTTTTTGCAGAGGACCTTCTTAAATCTCCCCCAGTCCAAGGTAATATTTACTGTTTTGTTATTTTTATTGATTTTCGTAGTCGATAAGCTTCTTGTAACAAATTTCCTTTATAATGTGTACTGAACTGAACTTGAACACTACTTGAAAAAAACTTGAGTATATACAGTTCTGTAAACATCTTTCCTCTTATTTTTTTCTTTATCTGATGATAGTATATGCAGTTATTGTTAAGTATTTTGTATTAGTAAATTTACTTTTTTTTCTAATATCTTTTTCCTTCGCTCTTTTTTTTATTTTTTTTTGGTTCTATTTCACAGTTTAAAAACATCGTTCCTACCGAGGAGGAGAAGCTTACGCTTTCGTTGGACTCATTTTTCAAAAAAAAAAATGAATTCACTCGGAATGATATTCCATCAAGCCCCACTACTCAGCATACCAACGACGTTGACGTTATATCACGTCTCGACTCAATCAGTGCTGAACTCGAGACCTTGAAACAAGCTTTCTTCGAGTTCTCGAAGCGTGTTATGGCCGAATTTGAGTTGTTCAGAGAAAAATTCATTGTAAGTCATTTGTTGATTTGCATTGATTTTGTTGTTACTTAAGGTGTGCTGCATATACGAGATATGTGTTCATCTATCACACAATTGATTTATGTTTTTTGGTAATTGTTAATGTAATTCTTATAAGTATGCTAATATATGTTAGTAAAATTCAAGTATATGTGGGATATGTTTTTTATGTGTTGGGGTATTTTTTTTTTCTATTGTGATTTTTCAGTCAAGTATAATTTTTGATTTAAATTGTGTTTGGTGGACTGTACCTTCATTTTTATGGATTGTATTTTCATTTTATGTAATCAATCTTAATCTGATAACATTAACATGATACATTAGGGTGGTTCAAGTGAGGACCATCACACAGACAGAGAAAACACGAGTGGATCTCGCGATGGGAATGAAATGCCTGAAAAAGAGACGGTTTGTTTTCTCGATATTCATATTTATTAACCATAATACATTTTAGCTAACACATCTATCAAATTAGACTATATGAAATTGTGTTAATGTTTTTTTTTATTATTTTTTTAATATGTATAGCCTTTCCAGAACCCAGCCAATGTTAATGTTGAGACTCCAAATGAGGTATCATTATCCCTTTTAATTTTTTTTTGTAAAATGTATATGAAGTACGAGTTTATTTGTTTATACCATCCTTTTTTTTTGTGTAAAAAAGCAAACGAGTGTCAAGTCTCCCGTCAGAGCCTTCAGAACCAAGTCTGAAGCACTTATGAAGAGCAAAGCAGACAAAGTAAGAATATCATGTTACAAAATATACCCAAGTTCATATGTTATTACATGTCCCACATTTAAACTTTTATTTATTACTTTATTTCTTTTTTTTGTTAGTTTGTACCAGTACAATCTTTGCCACAGCCGGCTAGCCATGTACCAGTTCAAAATGTACCCCAACCCGATGTCCATGTACCAAGTGGTGTCGACGATGACGACCCATTTCACGAAATTAACACCCAATTCTTAGAGGAGATTGACCGGACGTTGCAAGAAAAGTTGAATGAATCATCCAGGAGGAAAGAACCGGTAAATAATACACACGGTCTAACTAAGTATATGGTAGCCATATAAGCACATATTTCTCTGAACATGTCGGAATTTATACAAATCTTATTAATATTTGTTTTGTTTTGAAGAGAGGGTTCACATATGAGCCACACCCCATCTTTGGTTATGCATTGAATGGATCGCAGCCGTCATTTGATGCTATAACGGCCGGTCTGCCACCGACACCACCACACAAGAAAGCTAGTCTAGATCAGCAAAATAATGTAATATTCATCACTTGTTTTTGTTTTTTTTTTTAATTTAGTATCTTCAATTATATTTTAAGTGCAATACTAATTGTTTGTTTTTGAATTATTTTCGCCACACTATTCAGTCCGGACATGTCCAGAAGAATGTAGATGAAGAGAGATTCAATACTGGACCTGTCGGTAGGGAATTTTTTTTTTCTTTTGTTATATATTTGGTATATCTTTGGGTACATTTTTTATATTCTCCCGTGTTATGTGTTCGATATATGTTGAGTACATCTAAGGTAACTTTTCTCTTTTTTTGTGGATAAATTTGATAGTTAAGGTCAATTGTTATTTTCTATTTTTTTTTCCCAGTAACTATGAGTATATTTTGATGTACATCAACCTGTTGATTACATGATTTTACAGACCATTATTAACCATCACTTTTTACGTGTAATATTTTTTTTTTTTTTT